TAGAATTGTATAAACTTACGGCTTAGCTTTCATTAATCGGGGCAAAACATATATATACAACCCTTACTCCTAGTGTTACCTTAATTAGGTTACTAGAAATATGGAAACAATATAAAAGATAGAAACAAATATATCTACCCAAAATATATCCTCAATACCCCCCCTCAAGTTGGAGCACTAGGATCATAAGTGCCCAACTTGGACAAAACATGATCAAACTGTGATTTCCCAAGAGCCTTCGTGAAAATGTCGGCCAATTGAGTAGTCGTAGGAACATATGAAGGAGAAATTAAGCCGTCTATAATTGCATCTCGCACAAAGTGGCAATCAACTTCAATATGCTTGGTCCTTTCATGAAAGACCGGATTCTTTGCAATGTGCAAAGCAGATTGACTGTCACAAAATAACTTGATTTCCTTAGGATGATGGACACCCAAACTTAGCAACAAATCCTTAAGCCACTTGAGCTCACAAGTAGCTGCATACATAGAGCTGTACTCGGCATCACTAGAAGATGTCGCCACCGTTGGTTGCTTTTTAGTCTTTCAAGAAATAGGAGAATGACCTAAAAATACCAACCAACCTGTGATAGAACGACGAGTTAGAGGGCAAGCTGCCCAATCCGAATCACACCAACCTTCCAAAGTAAGATCACTAGTAGCACTCAACAAAATGCCCTGACCCGGGGTGCCTTTCAAATAACAAACAACTCGAAGAGCTGCTTCCCAATGCTCAATGCGCGGCTCTTTCATAAACTGAGACAAAATATGAACGGAGTATGCTAGATCTGGTCTAGTGACCCCCAGATAAATCAAACGACCAACCAACCTACGATATGCTTCCGGATCCTCAAGAAGAGCACCTGTGGCACGACCGAGCTTGTGGTTTTGCTCCATGGGAAAACCACTCGGCTTTGCCCCTAACAAACCTGCTTCAGAAATGATATCCAACGTATATTTTCGTTGACACAAAAATAAACCTGAAGCACTACAAGAAACTTCTATGCCCAAAAAATATTTCAAAGGACCTAGATCCTTCATCTTGAAACAATCACTAAGATAAGCCTTGAAACCAACTAGCGTAGCGGAATGATTACCAGAAATAATAGGATCATCAACATATACTAAGACATTACTCTGAACGGTGCCTTTAGTATACGTAAAAAGGGAATAATCAGAGTAAGATTGAATGAAACCATACCCTTTCAAAGCCGTTGTTAGCTTTGCAAACCAACACCTCGGTGCTTGCTTGAACCCATACAAGGACTTGTTCAAGCAACACACTAATGTAGGATCCTCACTTTCAAACCCGGGAGGTAATTTCATGTATACCTCCTCATCAAGATCACCATGCAGGAAAGCATTATGCACATCCATCTGATGAAGTTCCCAATTCTTTGATGCTGCAATTGCAAGAAAAGCCCGAACCGTTGTCATATTTGCAATTGGAGCAAATGTTTCACCATAATCTATGCCTTCCTGCTGATGGTTGCCAAAAACAACTAGCCGAGATTTAAGCCGTTCAATATCACCATTAGACAAATATTTTGTCTTAAACACCCATTGACTCCCTAGTGCACGTTTACCGGGGGGAAGGTGCTCTAAGGTCCATGTACCATTATCTTTCAAAGCCCTTATCTCCTCTTGCATAGATTTCCTCCAACCTTGATGTTTCATGGCCTCTTTAAATGATTTCGGATCATGACCACCAACAATAGCTGCCAGAAACTTACAATAATTCACAGAAAACTTGTCACAATTTATATAATGTGCTAGACGGAGTACCTAAAGGAGTGTTGGAAGACGGAGTAGAAGGACCCGGATTGTTAGCCAAAACGGAGTGAGTCACAAAATCTCGATGGCGAACATTGGGGAATTTTTCTCGAAACCCGCGCCCCAAGGGCTGATCTTTGTACCCCGCGCCCGCGGGATCCAAACCTGCGCCCGCGCCCGCGCCCGTGGGTTCCTCCTGCGGGGAGGCAGAATCAGACGCGGGCTGATCTCTGTACCCCGCGCCCGCGAGATCCAAACCCGCGCCCGCGCCCGCAGCTTCCTCCTGCGGGGAGGCAGAAACATTATGCTGCTGGGCAGCCTGCGACCCCGCGCCCGCAGCTTCCACCTCCGGGGAGGCAGAATCGTGGTGCTGCTGGGCATCCTACACCCCCGCGCCCGCGGGTTTCACCTGTGGGTCTAAGCCCGTGCCTCTGTGAACCTCACCATTATGCCCATATGCCACCATAACATCAGTAGAATCCTCAAACTCAATAAAATCATCATGAACCTCATAACCCGAATCAATGTTTTGAGTCGCTATATTCACATCATCTGGAGTAGCAAACGGAAATACATTTTCAATGAACTTAACATCCCGAGACACAAAAAAAAGTTTAGATTCAAGATCATACAAGCGCCACCCTTTCTTCCCAAAAGGATAGCCCACAAAAACACACTTTCGACTTCTACTTGCGAACTTATCCCCATTAGTTTTCTGATTATGTGCAAAACATAAACACCCAAAAGTACGAATGGCATCAAACATAGGGGGCTTATCAAAAAGGATTTCGAATGGGGTTTTATTTTGTAGAAAGGGGGTGGGAGTACGGTTAATTAGATGGGCCGCGGCAAGGACACACTCACCCCAAAAATAAATGGGTAATTTGGCTTGAAATCTCAAAGCTCTTCCAACTGACAAAATGTGTTTATGTTTTCTCTCAACCCTCCCATTTTGTTGCGGTGTACCCACACAAGAAGTTTGGAAAAAAAAAACCCGTAGCATAAAAAAATTCACGCAAGCAATTAAACTCCGTACCATTATTACTTTGCACAATTTTTATAGTTTGAGAAAATTGTCGTTCCACCATAGCAACAAACATAAAAAACATACGAAAAACCTCAGTTTTATCATTCATTAAATAAATCCAAACAGCTCTAGAATAATCATCAACTATTGTAAAAAAATAACGAGCACCGCATGACGAAACATGTCTATACGGACCCCACAAATCACAATGAATTTTTTCAAAAATTCTAGATGCTTACTATCACTCAAAGGAAACCTATCTCTAGAATGCTTAGCACACATACAGACTTCACATCCTTTATCTAAACTAGCTTTATTACTAACTGTAGGAAGCAACTTAACTACTTTCTCGGAAGGATGACCCAGACGACGATGCCACAACTCCAACTCTGAATTTGCAGCAAGAGCACTCACATGATGCACCAAGTCCGTTTTGCTAAAATAATACAATCCGTCCCTCCTAGTTCCCGTTCCAATCAGCTCCTTCGTTTGGTCCTGTATAGCACAAATATAAGAGTTAAATTAGACAGTACAATTAAGGTCATCATTGAGTTGCGAAACAGAAATCAAATTACAAATCTGATTAGGAACATAGAGTACTCCGGTGAGAGTAATCTTGTTCGATAAACAAACAGATCCAATAAGAGAAGCCGAAACCGTGTCTCCATTGGGCAAACCAACCGGACATTCAAAGCTTTTTGTATCAAAAATCCAATGTTTTTCTCCAATGACATGATGAGTAGCTCCTGTGTCAATAATCCAAGAGGTATCATCAAACTTACCGCTCAAACGATTGTCGGAAATTGTAGCATTACCCATCAATCTCGTAATCGCCTTCCACTGTTCACTAGAGAACAACCGACCCGAAGCAAAAGAGCTTGAGTCATCGAGGCTGGAGCCACCACCTGCCACCGCATTGGCCCTCACAGGACCCCCACGACAACGAGCAGCCGCAAGAGGCCCCCCTGGCTGCCAGCAACACCCTCTGGCCAACCGTGTTTATCATAACACCGGCTTTCTTCATGTCCCCTCTTTTTACAAAAGGTGCAAACTTTGTCTGACCAACACTTGGCAGATTTGTGACCAACCTTCTTGCACTTCTCACACACCGGCATCGGCCTATCTGAACTGCCACGCCCCCTTCCTGCACATGTCCGTACAGCAAACCCGAGAGCAGGAGGAGGGTCCTCCTTGGTACGAGCAATGCCACGAACCTTCTCATCTTGAGACACTTGTTGATATGCTCTGTTTAATGTAGGCAGGGGATCCATAGACAACAAACTAGAACGAATTTGAGCACAATATTCAGAATATAAACCAAGGAGAAATTGTTGTAGCCCATCCCCGTCACGAAGATCTGCGTGTTGTTTCCCAACATTACACACACACTTTCCACACGAGCAAGAAATTAATGGTTCAAGCCTATCAAGCTCATTCCACAAAACACATAATTTACTGTAATATACGGCAACCATCATATTCTTCAATTGTTCACAACTATTAATTTCAGATTTAATTTGCTGAATTCGTGGACCATTAACAACAGAAAAACGTTCATGTAAATCAACCCATAATTTCCTTGCATTATCATAGTGAGAAAGCATAGATTTTACCTCCGGATCAATAGTATTCATTAGCCAAGAAACTAGCATACAACGAATTGTAATCCAATCATCCTTCGTACACGGTGGTGAGAAGGTGGTGATACTACCGTCAAGAAAACCAAATTTTCTCCGTGAAGACAACGCAATACGCACAGCATGAGCCCAATCATGGAAATTATCAAGCTTTAGGCGTTGAGAGGTTATGTAATCCCCGGGCCGATCTTGCGGACCAAGGTAGAAAGGTGAACTGAGTTCGATTTTTGGAGGCGGAGGTGGTGGTGTCTCATCACCGCCGGCCATTGTGTAAAAGAAAGAAGAAAAAAAATCAAACCTGCTCCAATACCATGTAGAATTGTATAAACTTACGGCTTAGCTTTCATTAATCGGGGCAAAACATATATATACAACCCTTACTCCTAGTGTTACCTTAATTAGGTTACTAGAAATATGGAAACAATATAAAAGATAGAAACAAATATATCTACCCAAAATATATCCTCAATAAGAACTCTTTGACATGTGATGTGCTTAAACAAGGTAGTTTGGCATATTTGATAAAAGAGACAGCGGGCTCTGATTATCTGGGATGAAGCTTCTATGGCCAACAACGCAAATTCACATGCTCTTGATTTGCTGCTCCAAGATTTATGTGAAAATACGACAATTTTTGGTGGCAAGCTCAATATTCTTGGCGGAGATTTTAGACAAGTTCTACCAGTATTACCTCATAAATCACAGAGACAAGCTGTTGAAGCAAGAATAGTGACTTCGTACGTCTGGACAGCTCTGACAAGATTTAAACTAAAAGAAAATCAGAGAGCTCATGAAGACCTAGCATTTAGTTCATTCTTGCTGTCTCTTGGAAATGGTGAATTACAAAAAAGTGAGAGCAATTATGTCAAACTACCCGATGGAATGATTCAACACTTGCTTATGAAAGAAGATCCCGTTTTGAAGATTATAAAAGCAACATTTCCAAAAGTTGAAAAGGGAACAATAACATCAGATATCTTTGCAGATAGGGAAATCTTAACACCTATGAATGACGATGTTGATTTGGTGATTACAGTCTTAATATATCAATTTCCGAGATAATCAGTAACTTACAAAAGTTTTGATGTAAGGCTCAATGATACATGCAACATCTATACGATAGAGTTTATAAATAAACTATGTCCAGGAGGAATGAGTCCCTATGAGCTCGTCCTTAAGAAGAATTGTCCAGTAATTTTACTACGTAACATAATGCCAGAAGGATTCTGTAATGGTACGAGATTAGTCTGTAAGACCTTTCTACCCAACATTATTGTCTGTGAGATTTTTGTTGCATAATACAAGGGTACACCTGTTTTGTGCATCGAGCAAATTTGCGACCTCCCGCAAATAGCAGCTATCCTTTCGCTTTTGAAAGAAAGCAATTTCCAATTAAACTATGTTTTGCCATGACAATTAATAAGTCACAACGGCAAACATTGAATCGAGTATCAATATATCTTCCCCGGCCATGCTTTTCACATGGTCAGTTGTATGTGGCACTATCTCGGGCTAAAAAGGCTCAAAATGTTAAGGTATATACTACAAAACCACCTAAAGGGTATCATCTAAACTCGGTTAAAAATGTAGTATCTTACGATATTCTAAAGTACTCGGAAATAATTTAGCACATAACATTAAAATTTTGTTTTATGTTATGGGTACAATATTAGCTTTTGAACTTTGTTATATAAGTGATCAATATTAATGAAATAAGTTACAATAAATATCATATTATTACATATTTTTTGATAATTACAGTAAGCTGATTATCATATATAGACATCATTGCCTCCAATTTTGTAAGTATATCTTCTTAAGTCTTTTAAAGTTATCTTTTTTCAGATTAAAATTTGACATCTAAAATTTTAACATATGAACTTTATAATGTAAGTTGAACTGATTAAAAGGTTTATGGATTTCTTTCTACAGGCTTTCCAATTCTGTAGATAAAAAATAAAGCAACGAGGGTAAAGTCTTAGTTTAATAGGTACTATCTCCATCTACATTTATTACTTTTACAATAAGTATATAATTAAAATTATTGTTTGACATGAATTATAAATTATTAGTTTCATGCTATAGTAAACAATTATATATTAAGTTTGCAAATTTAACATTTACATGTAGAATAAGGTTAGTAACAATTTAGTTCAATGGTTAATTATCATTAATATGTATATTGTCATTTGATTCCTTTAAAATTTTTGTCATTGTTACGTGTGATTTTTTTTTTTTTAATAATTTACATATATTTGTAAATGTTACAATGTTTTCAAAAAAAAAAAAAAGGAATATGTCGTTCATCTTTTATTATTTTAGTAAACCAAAAATATTTACTATGTACCTTTTTTTTTTAAAAAAAAAGTAAATAGAAAAATAGCTCCCACTAAATTCTACATAGTAAAACATTGCAACAAAATTAGAATATAAAATAAAAAACAATATAAAAATAAATTTTTAACTGTTACTCCTTTTTCAGTTACCATTGTACAGAATAAAAGAATTATTTATTTATTTTAAAAAACAAAAAAAAATGAAAAGAGATAAAGTACTATTTTTTTACAAGAAAAGGATAAAATATTTATCTTTTTTCCTTCTTTAGCAAGACATTTTTTTCCTTCTTTACTCAAAATACGTAAAAACAAACTGATAGTTTAGAAATAATCTCATTGTAGAAGTATGTGGAGTTAAGGAAATTGAGTAGGTAATGTACAACAAAAAAAAAAAAAAAAAACAGTAATAAACATTAGTGGACATACATAGTGCTTTGCTTGTCAAACTAGAAAAACTTAAAGTAGAGAAAGCATGGGCTCTTGTACTATTATGAAAACATTAATGATTAGCATATTACTCTAAAATTCCATATCATTATTATCTCTTTTCAACAGAAAAATTAATATCAGAATAACAAGTTAAAAAAACAACTATATAAACGACAAATTTATTTCTAGCAAATCACCAATTTATGCAAAAATATAGGTAAGTTAATAATTATGTACTTAATCCAATCTTTATATTATTCTTTTTATTAAAAATAAATGTAACCACATTTTTTTTTTTGACAAGTTGTAACAACAATTCTTTACAACGCCAATATTTAATCAAGTACTCTCTAATATTTACTATTCTTAAAATAAAATAAAATAAAATCTAAAAAAGATATGATTTTTTTCATGAACGTTCATTTCAACACAATCTTTACCACATAATAATTTAATTTAATAATTTCATACTCAATTCAATCTTTACCATTTAATAATTCTTAAAATAATTTACTACTATTCATAAAGGTAAGACTTCCTTTTTTTTCATGGACCTATTTTGTACGCTATATAAAGAAATCAAATCATTTACCACTTACACTATTTTACTCAACATAAACCTACTATAACAACAAGAACTCATTCAAAATTTCTCTAACAAATCTAAACAAAATCTTATTGTGTTGATAAAAAATCACAAGGTAAGAAATCTAACTATTTTTTATTTATTCTTGTTGATCTATTTCAGATATGTACATTTAAATAGTTCTTTTCTTTATAAAATATATATACATCTTATGAAATGTAAATATGGTTCTTGTAATTTCAGATAAAAAACAATAAAAAGAACAAAAAAAAATATCTTATACTTACATAGGTAAAAATAGGATCACAAATAATAATATAAGAGAAATTTTGAAATATTAGTGCTTAGTATAATTATTGGTTAGATAATAATTGTTTTTCATCCTAATCAAAACACTACACTTCAAGAAAAAAAAAAACTTAGCTTCTCTATTTTAATAGCTTTTAATATTGTTATAGAATAGAATAAAATACAAGTTATATTATCTAATCATAATTTTTTTTTTTTTTTTTATTCAGAATGAAAACAGAACGCATGTATCTTGATAAGCTTAATCCTAACTCCATGAATTTCACAGTCAAAGTTAGAGTTGTTGAAAAAGCAAGACAAAAGATATTTTCCAATTCTAGAGCAACAATATCTTTCAAACTTTATATCTACTTGATGAAAAGGTATTTTTTGTCTTTTTGGATTGTATTAATACACAATATGTTAGCTTTTTTAGATTTTTTTTTTTTTTTTTTGAAACAAGGTGCATCTATTTAGTTAGATCTGCTTTTATTTTTTTTAAAAATAATTTTGTATGGATTTTATGGCTTGACGTGACATCTAATTGCCTAGAAACAATCAACTAGGGTTTCATAGAAAAAATTACATGCAATTCTTAATAGATTAAATTTACCTGTCAAATTATTTATATTTTACCTTAATGATAATTACTCTTGAGAGAATTCTATACTAAAATTTCTCCTTATTGAAATTTAATTATTAATATTATTGTTCAGACTATATCTCAGTAGAGATCTATCTATATTGTGCTAAAAATGTGTAATCTAATATATAGTAATCTTATTTTGTAATCTAATATTTAATTATTATTTCTCTTCTCATGATCCTCATGCAAACGCACTCCCTTTACATGTGAATAAAATATTCATCCACTCGCCTTTAATACTCTTTTTAATTCACTCACTTGCATTTTGCATATTATAATACTCACTTCGAATCACTTACCTAAAACTTTGTGTATAAACAAGTGATGGACTAATGTAGAATCGGAGGGAGTAGATGTTAGAGGATAGCAAAGTATGGGGTATGAACCGTCTCGTTTCAGCTCCACTACAACAAAGAGCAACAAAAAGAATAAGAAGAATAGGACATACCTTAGATTCAACTTTCTGAAGATCAAAACACTTATTTTCCAGCCTTTCTTTGTATAAGAAACCCATCCTTCGTAGCACATTAACCTTGGAAATCAGAGATTGCAACTAAAAGGCCGAATTCCCCAACCTACAAAAAGATTAAATTAATCATTATTTTTTAGAGATAACTAACTCCAAAGAAACATTTGAAAATATGCAAAACTAATGTAGGCATTACATATCCATGTCTCAACACCTACAATAACAGCTAAAGCTCCAATTAGTTTCCAAAATAACCACTGTGCACTCATAGGTTTATAATCGATTTTCATACTTCTTCTAATCATACTCAAATTTATTTCATAATAACAAGATGCGTGTTACTCTATTTGGAGATCAAATTAAAGCATATGACGAAGCTATTGCATACAATGGAGAGTATGAAATTTCTAATGCAACTGTGAAGCCACTTGATGATCAATACCGTACTGTCCATGATCAGTTACCATTCCAGCTACATTTAAGTCACATGAGAGTAGTTCAGCCAGTCTTCCCTGATATAGGTTGTGTGGTACCACAATATTAGTCAATAGCTTCAATTTCAAGAGTGCAAGTTGCTAATGAAAGATATAGTAATATCCTATATTTACACTATTACTTATATCCTACTACATATGTCTGTATCAGTCATTAAAAATTTGTTAATAACACATATTTCCAGCCAATTGATACAATTTTCTATGAATTTGACGAGGATGGTGAATATGGTTTACGCATTATATTACTATGTACATTTTTATGCACCTATCTTTTTTCTGTTTTTTAATAGCTTATTGATCTCAAAATTTATTCACATTATACAGATGTATCGGGAGTGGTGCTATTTGTAGAAGAAGAAGCACGACAAGTCAACTTCAATATAACAACAAAAGCTATGTTAGAGAGATCGTCATCACAGATCAAGCGTAAAAAAATAAAAACTTAACTAATTCTTAACATAATTCTATTACCTAGACAACTACTTAACTAATTGGTTCTATATTTACTGCATCCATAACCAAACTTTGACCATCTCTGCCTGGAATGACCTTTAATAACTGCAAGTGATGCTCTTAATTTTTGGGCTGAAAGATTTGACGTAGTTGGCTTCACAGCACTTAAACACAATCCTTGCAAAGGTAAAATCACGAAATATAACTAATGTATAAGAAATCTTACATATGGCGCAAATGAAAAGGCTAACAGGTCATCTATTGTGCATCATTTTCCTTATCAACTAGCATGTCTACAAGGATTATTCATAACCCGAAAGGAGATAGGGCAAATGTCTTACGTGAATGGTAATAAAAC